CAAATTGGAGGGGATATTTCAGGAGGAGCAGCTTGCTGGTTGTCATGGCACAGATGAGAAACATACTCGTCACGTAGGTATAGTACCTTGCATAGGAGCATAAGGAGCAGAAGAAGTTTCCTAGCACCCACTTATCAGAGATGATAGAAACCATCGTTGGGAGAACGTCAGTAACAGATACAATCAGGTCACAGAATGCTATGTGCTGGATGATGACAATGATGACTCGGTGAAGTTTAAAGGCCCTATACTTTATGGATGCTATGAGAATGGTTGTGTCTCCTATTAAAGATGAAGCAATGACGAATAGATAGTATCCGGCCCAAGTGTATCTTATAGCATCACTTTTAATACCATAAGCAGTCTTGTTACCGTACTCATCATGATATAGGGTTGGTGGCATGATAAAGTATTTGCGAAAATGGACAACTATTGCATGAGCGACAAGAACGGAAATGAGCTATACATTTTGTGATTAATCCCTTTTCTTTTATCTTGAGGGGACATGGAGCAGTTTTGCTACTCAATCTAAAAATTCAGAGGTTCCCTAGAGGCCTTCCTACAATTGAGTCCAGTTCTCACGGTTTCTCTTTCCTTCATAATTACCATTATCCTATTTGATCTTCCACTTGCACTTGAGGTTATCCATTTCTTATATCTTAAGGTGACATGGAGTAATTTTGATACTCAATTTACAGAATTAGAGTTAGCCTTTTTGTTGGCTGGTCAAAAGGAAAAGGCAGGGCTTTTTGCCATGCTGCAGCCACCTTTATCTAGAGACATCATTATTGTCAATTTCGCAAACCGCACCAAACAACCAATTGTGCTAAGGAGCTGGATCTGACCGGAGTGATATAGACCATAATTATTACTCACGTATTGTCTTAGCTCATCTTTCTGTTACACAACAAACAAATTCACAAGAAATAATGAAATATGTAATGATATGAAGGTAATGATATGAACGTGGGCAGTGAATCTGAAGGATGATTTATTGTAGTTATATGTTTCAGATTGGAGCGTCAGAATGTTTTCATCTGTAGCGAAATTTGTAAAGTTGTTTACTTTTCCACTGTCGGAAAACTAAATTATAAATCTTAAGTTTATGTACGATGAGGTTATGGAATGCTTCATTTTATGGGTAATTTCGAATTTATTATAAAATTATTATTATTTATTTTAAATTTAATTATTATAAATTGTGTCTCTTAAAGGGAAATGGAGTTATTTTGATATTATAAATTGTGTCTCTTAAAGGGAAATGGAGTAATTTTGATTCTCAATTTACAGATTTAGAGTTAGCCTTTTTGTAGGCTGGTCAAAAGGAAAAGGCAGGGCTTTTTGCCATGCAGCAGCCACCTTTATCTAGAGACATCATTATTGTCGATTTCGCAAACCGCACCAAACAACCAATTGTGCTAAGGAGCTGGATCAGACCGGAGTGATATAGACCATAATTATTACTCACGTGTTGTCTTAGCTCATCTTTCTGTTACACAACAAACAAATGCACAAGAAATAATGAAATATGTAATGATATGAAGGTAATGATATGAACGTGGGCAGTGAATCTGAAGGATGATTTATTGTAGTTATATGTTTCAGATTGGAGCGTCAGAATGTTTTCTTCTGTAGCGAAATTTGTAAAGTTGTTTACTTTTCCACTGTTGGAATGGCAGGAATGAAAGATGATCCTAATAATTACAGGCCAATATCCATCCTTCCACTTGTAGGAAAACTTATAGAATACTTTGTCGGCAAGCAACTCACCGATTACATGGAAGAGAACAAACTTTTCATCCGGCATCAATATGGCTTTCGGAAAAATCACTCCACAACTTATTTGATGTACGATCTGATGGACGAAATATATATGAGTAAATCTAAGTCTTATAAACCAGGAATCATCTTTCTTGATCTTAAGAAGGCCTTTGACACAGTGAATCATGAAATATTGCTTCAAAAATTGGCATATTATGGAATTGGTGGCATTGCTTTAACCTGGTTTAAGAACTTCTTATCTTGTAGATATCAATGCACAAGGATCAATGGCAAAATAAGCTCATTTTTAGAAGTTCTGAGTGGTGTACCACAAGGAAGCATCATTGGGCCTATATTATTTAGTATCTTCATAAATGACATCATTTATGCCTGTAACCTATCTAAGCCCTTTCTATTTGCAGATGATGGTGCACTATTCTTTGATCAAACCTGCAGAAGCACATTTATAAACATGAAAATAGAACTTATGACAATCTTTAAATGGCTCAGTGTAAATAAATTATCACTCAATGAAACGAAGACTGAATTCCTATTGTTTGATTCTGTTGATCAACATGATGAATTAACCATTGAATGTAATGAGGTAACTTTCACAATCAAGGAGTGCAAAGAGACAAAATATCTTGGCCTCATTCTAGATAGTAAATTAAACTTCAAAAGCCATGTAGATTATATTATTAAGAAGGTCATGAAGAGAATTGGTGCCATGTATAGAAGTAAAGCACTGCTACCCATTAAATATAGGAAAATGTTTGCCAATGCACTCATGTTGCCACAATTCGATTATTTAGACACGATCTATTGTAGAGCTGGCAAGACAAAACTTGCTGAACTTGACACTCTGTACAAAAAGGTAGCCAAAATAGCTCTCAACGTTCCACAAACAGAGAGCAGCCTTAATGTTTATAGAGACATGAAATGGTTACCACTCCATCTTAGACGACAACTCCATCTGTCAAATTATATGTTTAGAATCATCCATGACAATTGTCCTACAAACTTTATGAACAAATTTAGTTACATATCAGGAGGTAGTAGGAGCGGCGAAAGCTGCAACCTATATGTTAATAGATCAACATCACATAAAAACTTTCAATACTTGGGGGCAAAATGTTGGAATAATGTTCCAACAGATCTACGAAATCTGCCCGATGTTAAAAGCTTAAGTGATTCGTATAAGAAACAGCTACTCTCATCTATAACAACAGACCCTAATTATACCGTCGACAATTCATATGACAAATTTTACACTGCAATCATAGTCGACGATAACTAAGTATCTTCTAATTCTTTTAAATCTGAGGCATATATAATTGATGTATCGAGAGGATTTTCCCTTTTTTTACCTTTTTTTGATTGATTTTGCACATGACTGACATGTTTTAACTGGAGGAAGGGTTCGCACAGTGGTAGTTTTATAAACCACTTTTAATTTATTGACCTATTATACCTAGTGGTAGTTTTATAGACCACATTTAATTTATTTACTTATTATACTTAGTATTTATTTTTGGTGACTGTATCACCCAGTTTTAACATTTGATAATTGTACAGTTTATTAACGACACATTGACTGAATGTTATTTTATATTCTAATTTATATTCTAGATATTTTATTTATTTTTCAACAGACGACAACTTCCTGTTTTTTCTTCTATATTAGTTACTCATATCTCTTTTACAGACTTTTTTACAAGGACATTGACAGATGATACTCACATTAGGCATTCATTATTGCATCTAAATTATTTCACTTGCATTAGGTTTAGAAATTTATTCTCTGGTTAACAGATTTCAAATGTTTAATTAATTTGTAGTATGACAGTAAGGTATATAAGAAGTTATTTAATTTTGCTTGGGCTATTATATTGACTATTGAGGTTTAATGATGATATGGAATTTGAATTCTATATAAATTTACACTATGTGGTTGGGGCATTTTGCATAGTAAATATGGTTACTACTCCTATATATCATATTATTTGATTGGTATTCGATTTATGATTATTTCTCTAGGAATATGATTAATATATCTCAATTCGGCTTTAGGTAGGGTGCCCCGCTAAAAGAACTGGATTCTTCCAGGAAGCATCCCGTGCACAGACCTTGGTCTACATATATATTAAATTATTAACCATTCATTCTGTATGTGCACGAAAATTTATTTCAAAAAAAAAAAAAAAAAAAAACTAAATTATAAATCTTTAGTTTATGTACTATGCTTCATTTTATGGGTAATTTCGAATTTATTATAAAAATTGTTATTTATTTTAAATTTAATTATTATAAATTGTGTCTAAGTTTGATACCAGTTAGACCCCAGCTAGAGGGCAGGTAACGCATCACAAAATGGAAAGAGATGGAGTCTTTGTTCTAGCTAAACGACACTTTCTGAGTATGTGAGGTAGGTAACAGAACTTGATGATTTATTTGGGTCTTTATAGTTGGACCTTCTCTTGTCTTGCCACTAACAAATCCCCTGATCTCATTAATGCTTGCCCTGCCAATGACAAGCTATGAATTGGCAGGGCCAGCCTGATTCTGTTAACTATTTTGTGTATGACATGATGCTGTTGTAAAACAATTTCATTATGAACTATGGGTTTACAAAGATTTGTCTTGTCTCGTGAGTTCACTGAACTATCTTAAATTGAACACTTGAACAAGATTATTCAGAAATAGATTATATATGTGCTCCTAAACTTCTGTCCTGTCTAAGATATGTCATTGTGCAAGAACTCATCTTGTATTGTACTGCGGTCTGTCTACAGTATGTACCGTTTAGCTAGAACAAAGACACTATCTTGTATTGCAAAACGTGAGAGGTCTGAGGTGCTAGCTAGATGGCACGTACTGCAGACAGACTGCAGAACAAGATATCCTCGCTAGACGGCACGTAACGCATCTCGTAATTGATTACATGACGCGCTATGTGCCGTCTAGCTCTAGCTGGGTTCTAATGCTGTAGACTTAGTCTTATTTCAAGACCTCAATACCATCCCATATAAAAGGGATGACTGTGCATTGCAGATTCATAACCGTGATCTATTGCTTGTTAACAGATCTTGAATATGGATCAGTCTAATCTTGTTTTGGAACAAGATAGTTCTATGCAACAGAGGAATGGAATTTGTTCTATGCAATTATTATTGTCATTGAGCTGAGCGGTAAATTGTGATTATTTCAATAATCTAGAAAGAGTGAATAAGAAAACACTATTGAATTCAAACATGTGCATTTATTACTTCTCAATAAAAGGTACAACCATAATAATAATGCAATCATTCTGAAACACTTCATTCCACTATGTGTAAACAATAACAAGAAATAGTGTTTTATTAAGCACGAAAAAATTCAAACTTCCATCCTGTGCCTCTTAACTAAATCTTGGTTCATGAAATACCATCTGTCATTAGAAAAATACCAACTGAAATTCCACAAATAATGCCACCTTAATATACAACTACAAACCAGGCAAACGATAGCTGTAGATACACGAAATAGCAGAATGTTTGTTTACCGAACATCCTACAGTCAGGTTGGTTGACATTTTCTTCAGAGCCTCAAGCGCAGAACCATAGATAGCGAAGTAACTATCGCAAGACCCACGAAACAAAATGTTGGTTTCATGTGTTTTTGATGATTTCTTCTCGAGTTTCCTCTCCACTATGGCTTGTCTTCTTCTTCTTCGAAAGGACACTAGACTACCTCCGGATTTGCTGTTGTTGGAAGCCCAATCTGTTCCATATTCATCCTCGTGTTTGGATTTTAAACACTTTTCTGTTTCTTCTTGGGTTTCCTGTAAAATGAACATTCGTTTGATTTTGTTATGATACACTTCAAACTAGTTTGGTTCGTGAAGAGTCCATGATAGTCGGGAATATGTTTCATGTCATCATCATATTTTTGTTAGCTGGACAATCCCTTATAAAATATGGACTAAATTTTTTCATTTTTGTAAGATTAGGGATTGACTTCCAAAGATGTTGCTTACGATAAAAAGTTTGAAGATTGTTTCACACAGAACCTATCTGAGAAGAAATGACTAGTATTCTAAATTTCTTAAAATGCTGTTAAATTTAGCACTAATAAAAACAATGTAAACTCACAGGGTCAATAGTTAAAATACTGTTAAATTTAGCACTAATAAAAACAATGTAAACTCACAGGGTCAATAGACTCGGGTCTTGTCGCCGTCAGGAGCAGTGCAACTAGTGACACAAAGAACAACATCTCCAATCTACTAAAGGAGAATTAGTGCCGCAACATTCAACAATGAGCTCTGTAATTTAGTGGTCCTAGTTTTATTTATAATAGCAATCTTGAGACTGAGCAATTATCTTTCACCTTGACAAAGTATACCAAGACTAAGCAAAACGTGAAACAATCAACCAATGATCATTCGAGTTGACTTGTCATATTGCAACCCCCTTCTAAGCTGTTCTTGAGGGACACAATTACAATTAGTACCGAGTTAACAATGAGCTGAGATGGAACGCCACTCTTTATATATATCATGTATCATAATTAGATTGGGGAGGGGGGCCGTCACAATTATTGCTTAATCTAACCCCAATTAGCTATTAGCGTGACGTGCCTAAATGTCTCAAGTATATGAGGTCCAACCTTCTCGACACGTCATACTTACTTCAGGTACCAAAGCAGTTGCATCATTTCGCGTGCAATTAACAGTAGGGTATACAGAGTGGAGAAGCACTGAGCTAGTCAGGGATGACAGGAACCAGTGGTGCTCAAGTAACAAGTGAGGGACTGTTGTTATAACTTTTCCTTATCATCACGAGGAATGTTCTAGAGAACTCTAGAGATTACACTTTACAGAGTGGGACAGCCTCAGTTTACTCAGCCAAATTAGCTGGCTGATTATTTAGATTGTTTGAATCCTTATACCAGGGACAATAAATGTTCATGACAGTCTTACCTCACGTACCTATCACCTCAGTGACGACATGGTCATAACAACCGGGAATATTCTCGTTGATTATGATGAATATTTCTTATTTTTTCAAGACGACGATAATATTCGAATAACATATCTCCGACAGAATTCTATCTATAACAAATAAAAGCAAGACAAAAATGATAAACTCCTGTCACAAAACTCAACGACCACGAGATTATCATTTAGACGGTTTCGATAGGGGCAAACAATAAATACAAGCATTTAGCAGATACATTCCTAAGCATGTGAGATAAGGAGTAAGATTAATTTAAGTATTAACAAGTTTTAAGAAGGTGACTTACAGCTAAATTTACCGATTACAATCCCTTTTTTAGTTTGAATTATCATCGATTGTACAAGTTGAAAATTAATGTATGATAAAATATTCTTCGGATCAAATTAATTTTAATTATCTTATATTAACGAATTTATCAATTTTCAATGAAGGTCTCCTTCATAATATATACTGAAGAGTGAAGTGAAGTGAAGTGAAGTGAAGTGCTCATTTTCTTCAATAAACTTTGAGCTACAATGTTGCGATGTATTGCATTGATTTCCTTAGTTATGATCAGAAAAGGCTCTTCACTAACTTGCACTAACTTTGCAGACAAAACAACGCCAGCGCCGATAAGATTAACTACATGCGTTTGGGTATAAATAAATATAATAAATAAATTCGCACGTCTATTGCACTCTTCGAACGAGAGATCAGTTCTCAAAGAAAACTTACGATAGACTCAGATTGAAAATATAATACTCACTCGATAGTATATTGTTCTATAGTTCCATTGATATTCATTTTAGACCGAAATAGTTTATATTTCTTTGTCTTACTACTCGGCTATTATGAAAAGAAGTGAGACAGAAGAAAGACCGACTGCCCGTAAAATTTCATTTATTAATCCAAATTCAGGATTGGTAACGAATTGTTAGCCTAATCATGTGCAGACGAAAATTGTTCGAATTATGAAGCCTGTTCTGATGAGGTATGATCAATTATCAGATAAAATTTATCTTAGAATATAAAAATTATCCAAATCCAATTTATCCACATTAATTAAACCACATATAACTGACGGTCACTAATTTAACAATTTTGATTTGTATACTTCTCATCCATTAAAACATACTCAAACAACATTTCAAAACAACCTGAAACCACATATATTATAATATTTAACCAAACCACACCAAAATTTAATCACAATGTGTAACAATGTGTAACAATGTGTAACAATGTGTAACAATGTGTAACAATGTGTAACAATGTTTACCAATGTTTACCAATGTTTACCAATGTGTAACAATGTGTAACAATGTGTAACAATGTGTAACAATGTGTAACAATGTGTAACTAACCCTGCCTCCCTCTACCTAGCATGAGTTCCAACTTACCAGATGACTACGAGAGGATACTGCTGGTGAAACCTGTGGTGTCTGTTTACAAGATCCCTGCACGTGGAGCTAATCGCGGAGTCAGGTCTGTTAATTAATAATCAATTAATAATTAACGCGTATTGTTTGTCTTCTTATCTGGTGGGGAGGCATATTACTATGACACGTGACAGGAATGAACCAATCAGCTTCCACTGTTAACCAATTAAACCCCAGAGTAACTGTCACGTGTTAAAAATATGTCTCACCTCCCCAACACCTCCCCAACACCTCCATATTTATTGTTTGTCTTCTGTTAGGTTTCATCGCTCTTCTTGTGTATATTATAATACGACACAGATAAGTTATGATCTGATTTGCTGTATCCTTTACATCTTCTATAGTTTCTTATTATATAACTGACACAAATATTTAAATCGATAAATTGCAATTTGAATTTTTTTCTCCGCTCTTTATTTCTTATTAAACACTGCTCTTGTTTCTCAGACACAACATATAAACAACATAATAAACGTATGGTTATCTTTATTGTTTCGTTAATACTACGATCCCGATCCTGCCTATGCGGCAACTTTTGACTTTTTGAGAAGGAATACCGCATTTAATACCGCATTTAATACCGCATTTAATACCGCATTTAAGCTGAACAAATCACCAATTTTGCAGTCTTTAAGTGCTCTCAGTTTAGATTAGAGATTGTGCCACGTGACAACAACACGTGACAACACCACGTGACAACAACACGTGACAACACCACGTGACAATACAACAAATAAGGCCCTAATGGGGTGTGTGAGATGCTTGACAGGTTATCTGAGATGCTACATTTGAGCGCGCTATACCGGCCACCGGCTTTATTATACTCTTCGTTTCCCATTAGGTATAATATAGAGGTTTGAATGTACAACAAACGTCATAGCCTCTCAAATTATATATCTAGAATTACCCTTATAGAAGGTCTTACAAATAGATGGGTAGGATGACTGGGGTATTATTATAATTTTACAGTATTATTTTTTACAGTATTATTTTTTATACATTTACATATAACTTTGTTTGGCAGGGCTGCAGACTGGAAGTTAGAGTTCCCAGACTGGAAAGGTAGGATGAGGATTGTAACGTTGGGGGAGAAATGTATTATCAGACTGGAGGATAGTAACAACGGTTAGTTATTTACATTTATTTATTTAATTAAATCATAAGTTATTTCATGAATCAAATAAATTGTTTATAAACTTATTTATCAACTTATTTATAAACTTATTTGTATTATAATAACTTATGAATTTATTTACGGAAAGCTGAGTCTCCGTTTAGTTGGAACAGGATACCTTTGAGAATTTAAGTGCTATATATTTAAAGGTCAAATTTTTAAATTTATGAAACTTTGTTTCTTGATATTTAACGAATATTTGGTACTTTAAAGTTTCAAGCTGTGGATGTGCACTGTGTAGGCACATCACGCATGATACATATAATGCAGACACGACCCATATTTACACTACGCCCTAATTTCAAAATGTATCTACAGACGGACTTCGATTCCTTGAAATATAGACAAATCTATTATAATACTATTAAAAATATCACAATTGCACGTTGTAGATGATTAATTTTCTGAGGAAAAGGTTCTACAGAATCAAAGGATAACTACACCCTACATTAAGATCATACCGTACCTTGTTAGACCCGTCCTGAATAATAATTATCGTTCAAAACTGCAGTCTCAAAATAATTCTACAACCACTGAATTCTCAGCTTACATATATTTTGACTACTTCAATTCAATATCAACTCGCCTCCACCATGGCTCATGAATAAACCACCTTTGTCGTATGTCCTCCAAAACGCAGCTCCTCAACCTAACCCCTCCCTCAGCCTCATCCTCCAGTGTAACACACCTGTTAGTTGAAGTGTGCGTGATCTGTGCTGTGGTAACGTTGTATGCAAACATCTGGGTTGAATAGGGCTTTCTTTCTGTTAGAGATTGTTCATGACAAATGTATGCGATTATTTCAGAGTCACTGTTCGTGTCTGGGGCATCTAAGCAGTATTTGGCGCCCAGTCCGACGTGTATTGCACCGTTTTTAGAGAAACTCAATAAGTGTGTATCAAAAAAGTAGACGTTTTCTTTTCTGCATGATGGCTCCGTACCTAGTTTACTTCTGACCACAGACAGACAGAATCTCTGAAGATACGCTGATTGAATTTCGCCCACGTGCACATAACCGGGGGTATCATAAAACTTGTAATGGTGACTTGAATGAACATTCTTCAAATACCAGTCATAGTCTCTGGGACACTTAGAGTATTCAAACGTCTGCTGCATTACTTGAGCTAATTTGAAAACAGGACCAAACGAAGCTTTGTCCAAGTAGATTGTATTGAGAAAGAACCTCTGCTCTGCAGGATCCTTGATAAAGTTCGTTATTTCTGCTAAACTCTCACCCTTGAGTCGGTTCATGAGATCGTTCGATTCTTTCGTGTATCTTTGAAGGGAAATGTCATTACCATTTGTATGAAGAACCTGAGAACAGGGGGGTACCCAAAGTCCATCACCACACAACCACACTCTCAGTGCTAACCTGTTATTTTCAATACCCCACGAAGTACTAACTATTGAGGCAGGGTACAAGTCTACAAGAGTAGTTTTATACGCTGCAAGTGCACCTCCCGCTAAGGACGAAACAAGATATGGTTCGGTTACATTATCTTCGGGCGGTCCTGCAATATAGAATTGCATCATTTCCAGACCCACTGGCCATCTGGATTCCCGTACGGCTGCACATTAGTCATGTGTTGCTCCTCATAATCTTTTTCTCCCATCATGTGGACTAATGGGATTGCCACAGCTGCTGGTTTATGTTTTAAAATGTCTAGCAGTGGTTGCAGCCATATTTCTGAGACCTCCATGTGACTGTCCAATATAGCTATAACATCACCTGTAGGCCGCACGTATTCCTGCATAGCGTGCGTTAGCTATACCTACACTAACGTTTTTCCTAATCATACGCACGGGAATACCAACAACCCTACAATATTCCAGTATCTCTAGACTGTCATCTTTATCGCTACCATCATCTATCAACAGTATCTCATGCAGCAAATCAGATGGGGTCCTCTCAATGATGGTCGTTAAGGCTCGATACAGAAGCAGCAACAACTCGTTTTTGTAAGTAATCAGCACAGTGACACGTTCCGAGTAGGCCCTGTCTAAATAGTCCAGACATTTGATATTTGGAGGGGGTTTACTAGCTGGAAGTAGACCATGTTTTCCACCCCAGTGTAAGGCAATGTCCCTGTGGTAATAGTCCGAGAGAGATTTTAGTTCCTCTGGAGTGAGATTTTCCAACTGTTCAGTGTACTTGAATTCAATTTGACGCATAAGGCGGTACTTCTCTATCTGCATCTGGTTTGTGTCCCGAGGTAGTTGCTTGTGGTAGAATGCAGTACTGAGTTGGGTAACAGGAAGGTGAGTTAGGAAATAACACGTGATCAGAAACAGAAGGAGAATTGTCAGGATTGTTTTTGGTTTGTATCTCAGTGTCACTCTCATGACCTTATCTGGACCCTGATAAAATGTGCTAATATTAATGCCTTGTTTTAAACATTAATTATTATTTAATCTTAAAACCTTCAAAGTGTTTTGATACTGGTAGTCTCCGGCTGCAAAGCAAAAGCAAAAGCTGCAAAATTACGATACTCAAGATGACCTCCAGAAATATTTACTCTTAATCGAAAAAAACGAGTTTTAATAACAATAAAAATAGAAGTAAGCTATTTACTGCTCTTAAAAAGAAGCCCTTTTTACACTGCTAGATAGATGTAATATATTATACTGTAAACTGTTAGATAG